GAGTCCCGTACAGGCCTGATTTTTTTCAGGTCTGAATTTCGCTATTGCTCAAATAGCGCTATCTACTGCGAGGATCGTCCATCATACGTATCAAATACCGCAGTTCAAAATATATGATTTTCATATATTTATTCTATCTCATTTATCACTTTCACGGGTTCATTACGAATCAACTTAACGGCCTGCTCTCAGTTGGCTTGTTAGCTCAATTGGTTAGAGCGCTGCACTAGTATCGCAGAGGTCAGTGGTTCGAGTCCCGTACAGGCCTGATTTTTTTCAGGTCTGAATTTCGCTATTGCTCAAATAGCGCTATCTACTGCGAGGATCGTCCATCATACGTATCAAATACCGCAGTTCAAAATATATGATTTTCATATATTTATTCTATCTCATTTATCACTTTCACGGGTTCATTACGAATCAACTTAACGGCCTGCTCTCAGTTGGCTTGTTAGCTCAATTGGTTAGAGCGCTGCACTAGTATCGCAGAGGTCAGTGGTTCGAGTCCCGTACAGGCCTGATTTTTTTCAGGTCTGAATTTCGCTATTGCTCAAATAGCGCTATCTACTGCGAGGATCGTCCATCATACGTAGCAATAGTGAAGTAAAATAATTCGTCTCTCGACGTAGATCGCTACGTTTCGACTGAATAATGCTTCCGCCTGAAATTAAAAAGTAACGAATCAATTTCGCAACGACAAGATCCACATCGAGTACATCAGGGTTAGGAACTTATCATGATCTGAACGATTGTACTTCACGACAAGTTTTGTACAAGTTTTTGTCACAGTAGCTTGCAAAACTAAGCGAAGAACAAACTTGAATCAATGGAATAATCTCGAGCCTCATGCCATACGATCTTGCGGTCAGTTTTCATTCTCTGCTAATAGTTACCGATAGAGCTTCCGAAAGTATATATAAAACTATAAGGTGATGCATGGGCACCGTATGAACTCGTGAAGGAATTCTAAGAGATTAAAATAGTAATTGACAAGAGATCTCGGTGGAAAAGGCGTACGTTAACGTGTGGGAAAAATGAGAAATTCCTAAAAGGTGCTACAAGTTAACGTGACAACTTATTACCAAACCATGTGATTATCAAACCTTTGACTGTTACTCTCCTTTCTATACAGTAGAGTAACAATCAACGCAAAATCTACCAAATCGCTTAAATTCGCCATTTAGAACCACAGAAACGACAATACACTGCAAGTGAGGTAGGTTTACATTTATTTTGAGCCTTAGCATAGACATTCCTCGATATAAGTTTACGATATTACGACTCTTCAATATTCTCCCGGCCACACATTTCTTTATATTTCGAGCAAATGACCAGACACGTCACTTGTGTGGGCCCCCTGTGCTGAGGCGTGAACAAACGAAAAAAATGGAAAGCATACCAAGCTCAGCGCTAGTTTTGCATAAAGCCTAAGCCAATTATTGTACGGTTGACTAAGGAAACGAGGTTGACGGAAGGGATCCCTTGCCCTTCCTGCCCTTCTGTAAGAATTTTAATTGGCTTGATTCATTCAAAAACGGCTATAAACCACAAGATTCTTATAAAGGCGGTGTTCACATTTAAATTTTTTTTGTGATTATGAAATTCCAGCCTCGCGTTACGTTAAAGCCAATCGTTCAACGGTACGTGTACTGAAAATTGTTTGCTCTATTGTCTCTTTATTGTTCCTTGTTCATTAGGCTCAGTAGGCTCGGTTTAGGCTCAGTAGGCTCGTTTTTCTTGACACTTCATCGTTTCTTAGGCAGTCTTTTCTTCTTTCAAACTTCGGCCTGACCTCCCGAGTGGGTACAAGATGAATAGAACTAAGCGATTTTCAGCGTTGAATGTTCGAAATACAACAGCTAAAACTTAATCGCCTGTTCACGTGTACTTCTGAACCAAACGAAACAACCCATGCCGCTAGTATATTTTGGTCTTTTGGCTAATTATTTTGTAATTTCACAAAGAGTAATTATTCAAATTCGAGACGAAAGTACCAGACACCTGCGATATTTGCAGCATATTTGAATATGGCGTCGCTGAAAATTGACGGCCCTGCAAATTTCTTAGATACATTTGCAGAAATACCGGGAAAGTGGTCTGAAACCGGTGCTTGTGCATGTCGTTTACTGATCGATACAATTCAAAATTTTTCTTGACTTCAGGGATCTGATGGCGTAAAATTTTAGACTGCAAAAAAAGAAGCGAATTCTAGGCATTTTGCATTTAGAGCTAACTCAAAGTTTTAATTCTGGGGTTTAATTTATTCTAGACGGAGCTCTTCCGCTGCGATCATTCATCCGGCTTTCGAGTTTTCGAGGACTTGTATCACTCATTTTGTTTTCTGAGTGAACGACTGAATTTCGGTATCCAGGAGAAACTGGCTCAGCCGTCCAACCTTCCTTAAGCTAGGCGGTTCACGTGCGTAGATAAAAAACCTAGAAAGCCTCCATAGGAGGGCAGTAGCCACGACAAAATTTATGCGGGTTTTTACTCTGATAATCTCCTAAACTATTACATTAAAACCATAATTTACCTCAGCTTCGCTTCTCGGCTAAATGTTCATACTCGAATGAAATACAGAGCATTCTAATATTCTACTTCAGTTGGCCGTGTAATGCATTGAGACTACAAGCTTTTCATCCAGTATTGCTCCCGACAGAGGACATTTTGGGTTTCCTGAACCTTTGCGTATCATCCATTTACTTTCAGTATTACGGTAAACATCATAAATACTTAAACGGAACACCTATGAGGTCCCCCGGCCAGTTTCCGTTATTATCGCAGAAATTGGGACGCAAAGCCTCGAGGAAACTTGCCCTAACGACCTACCGACAAACGTTAATAGTATCCATATCAGTCTCAGTCTCAGAGCATTGCTCATGCGCAAACAAGCTGCTTGGGTTTGTTTAAAGAAACACACGTCATTTACAAAGTACCAATGAAAGAAGATCAATCTATTTAACCATCGTTAGACAAAATCTGGGCTACGCCACACAAGTTTGGGCGCAACAATCTATTTGTCTTATCTCAAATCTGGAAAAGATGCAGAGACGGGCTTCAAAACATATCTTCAAATTACCATTCTCGTGTTGTCAAAGTTATGAACAACAACTAAAAACTCTTTCCAAACTACCTATTAGCTATTAGCATGAGTGCTTAGATATGTTACAAGACACATACGATCGTCTGCCAATACAGCTGTTACCAAATACTCTGTACCTAAACGCAAGACTTCAACCTTTCAACTGTCATTTATTGTACGAACAATAAGAATCTGGAACACATTGTCAGACGAGCTTAACCCAAGTATGAACAATGTAAATTACTTCAAACGTGCTTCGCTGTGTTATTATTCGACTGCACCTCGAGAGATCTATGACATTGACAATCCCATGACTTATAAAACTATCTTTACGAAATGTAACTCATGTCGCAGCCTGAAAACAACACCAACTCCATGCTCTATATTGTATGTATTGTTGGCAAAGCTGATAAAATCATTGGGCCTTACAGTGCCAATACCGCTTGGATTAAGTTTAGTTCAAGATACATTTACCGCCGAAATCTAACTATGCTTTAACAACGGGGAGACCGACATACAGTAAGGAGAAGTGAAACAGATCATCCCGCAAAACTTTCTTTTCCAGATTGTGCACGTTCGGTAAGGCGGACGAAAGTTTACAGGAAACCGAAGCATACCGACACATAACTGCACGAGTAATGTACAATATGACATAATTTGGGTTCTAACGAGACGAACGCTTTGAAGCATATCACTCAGTTTACCTGTCAGAAACAAATACCAAGAAGAAATCTTTTCTATTAACAATTACCTAAACAACTTTATTGGACGAAGTACAGTACTCGCCGACTTATCGAAATAATTGAAACGAACCACAACTTATGGTATTATATCCGACTTCAATGACTGTTTTCGTAACTTGAATACAGGGCTCGTCCGATTCCGCATCTCCTAGATCCTACAACCTGCATTGCCTGCGGACTGATGACTACGTTACAACTCCAACGATCAGTCCAAAAGATCGGCAACTATCATTGACGACACTACTAACATTAGGCTCGGTTTAAACGTCGAACTTCACATGCATTTAATTCCTGAGTTTAGTTCGGCACATGCGAAGTTCGACGTTTAAACCGGGCCTTACTTACACTACCAACATTCAGAAATATCAACACTCACATACGCTATTTTGCTGGCAATATGCCACTTTCAGGCACGTTGGCTTACTGCAAACTTTTAGTTCCGCATTAGTCTAGTTTTCTTGCCTTCTAGATTAATTCTTGAAGAAATTTTGACTTTTTTAATTTTATTTTCGTTATTTCCTACAATCCGAGGTAGTTCGCTCTCATATTTCTTATCTGCAATCGAAAATTATGTTGGTTGATACTTCCTTCGCTGTTTTATCCTTTTTGCACCTTGTCTGCAATAGAACCAATTTCATTAGGGTTACTTACATAATCAAAGTATGGCTGATTAAGTCTTACTGCTCAAAGGTGGCTCTGCAGTATCAAAAATTCCATGTTGGGTATGTGGTAAGATTCCTTTTGCTTGTTATCCTTTTATAAAAATACAAGGATCCTGAGGTAAGTTTCCACTCACCAAATGCTGTACTTTTATTAATAAAAAGCTGTTGGTGATTTTTATTGATTCATTCAGGTTGATCATATCTTACGGTTAACTTCAATTGTTTGTCAAAAAGTTTCCTACTGCCTCTGTTACTGCTATTGCAACCACCATCGTCACTGCTACGGCATATACTACCGCATATGTCCCTGTGAAAACTCTCAGTTGACACTTGCAAATCTCTCACATCTCTTTCAACAATTGTTTCAAATTTTAGATACAGCTATCAACCAGAAAACGCAAAAATATTTTACTGTCATAGACACTTTAACATCAGGGGCTCCATGGCGAAATTAATTACAGCCAGTTAAAAGCAAAGAGCTTTTTTTCCCTCTTACGAAAGGTTGCTTTTCAGGTTTTAAGATGCGTCACTTTAACACGGTCTCATCACGATCCTTGGGACATGTAAGAAGATGGGTCACTCGCAGATTGTTATCAACACTGAACACTAAGGGAGAGATCAAGAACGATTCAAAATGTGATCAAGTTAGCAGCTTTAATGTTCCAAACCCGTACATTCCAAATTTCGCAGGTATGTGACTAAATTCACATTTACACACCCAAGTAATTAAGTGTAGGTAACAATATACGCCGTGGTGCACCAACTTGTCTTTGTCCTTTTCGATAAATGAGAAATTAAATTTTTAAACCAACTGACTGACTGACCGAGCGAATACTTGACCGACTATATCTGACGGACCGCATGACCGATTGACTTCTTGATCAATGGGTGTCTAGCTCTTATAGCATGCGAAAAAGAACGATCGATTTTCTTTCATCAAATAATTTTTAGTTTAATCTCAAAATCATTTATACAAACAAATGATGTAATATTATCCTTGCAGGTGAATATATCAAACCGCTGCAATGGAAAATGTACACTAAAAGTCACATTCCAGCCATATTGAACACGTACTGGCCTCGAGGAGCACAGTCCGTGGACCCTCTGCCATACCTAGCAGCGGCATCCATTCTGCCAATGCGTACAAACAATTACGTGGTAACTCAGCTAATCGACTGGTCTGCCGTACCGGATGACCCTATGTTTCAGCTCACCTTTCCACAACCAGGTCAGCATCGAGAATTTAGCGCTGGTAGTGTTGTCAGCAATAAAACAATTTTAGTTTAAGCCATCGTCGCGTCAAGCCAAGTTAATCGTGGTGAGATTGATTTGGTCTTGAGCAAGACTCGCAAGCGTATTTCAACATAAAGGGGGTACGTTTCTAAAGAAATTCTGGTGTTACATCGCTGGAGGGGTATTAGGGAGATACTTTGGTTTAATCAACCGTGTTTATAGGGAATTAGCCACCGTAAAGGGTTTTTAAGGCTGAATTCACTCTAACGAAGGGCTAATGTTCGAAACGTCAGCTTTAGAATTTATACAGTGGCTAATTAACAATTATTCCACGAGCGCGCGCTGGATATGAGATGATAGATAGCCAACGAGGCGCTACGCGCCTCGTTGGCTATAATCATCTCATATCCAACAAGCGCGAGTAGAATAATTGTTTTATCAAAAAAAAAAAAAGAAAACGCTCCCAAGATATTAGACAAATCTTCTCGACTTTATTTCGTGAGAAGAGACCGGATGTTACGATGTACAGATATAAGATTATGGTATACTGGCTGATATACCATAATGGCTATGCCAATAAAAAGTCTTGAATTGCATTATCCAATGATCCAGTTTTTAATAATAAACAATTATTCCACGAGCGTGCGTTGGAGTAAAATGATAGAATATTATTTCTTATTTCATTATAGACTGATACACGGACGCTCGTGGAATAATTGATTTATCAAAAACGCGCCAAAACATCGATAAATTTTCCCATATCTATCGTGTAAGAACAAAAGGAATCTTTCAATGTTCAAAAAAATTTTCGATTTAACTTGTCTTCTTGTGCGCGCACGGTATAATGGCTCATAGCCAATGATGACTGAGCCAATAAAAACTTTCGAATTGCATTATCCAATGATCC